TTTTTTATGGCATAGGGGGCAGACGAGCAGACGGATCACCTGATGGTAAGTGATTACCGTCGCCCATGGACACCTGCAACACCGGAGGGCCTACAAGCGCGCTGCCGGCCTTAGAGGGAAGGGTTGAGGGGTAGAGGGAAGTGGACAGTTAAATCGGAATACGGTCACGAAAAGCACTGGCAAATGAAAATGTGTGGTTACCGATTCCGCGAATGAAATAACAAACGTCATCACTTATTCGCTCTTCTCCCGCTTAATTGAATTTTGATTGTTTTAAAAATTGGATTTCAGATGTTTGATAAAGTGACAACTTCGTTTATGTAGTTTAATTTATTGGAAAGCATACAAATCCTAATTGATTTTATATTTTTTGATAAGTAAAAATGGGGAATAATGCCTTTTATTTCTCAAACCGTTTTTGACGATAGTATTCAAAGCCATATCTTACAAAATAATTAAATTAAACAAATAAGTTGTTTCATTTAAATATATATATATATAATTATATATATTAAGAGTAGCTCGGTGGCGTAGTGGATAAGCGCCGCGGCCCGCGATCGTTGTCGTTAAGCAACTTTCGCAAGGGTCGGTCACGGGATGGGTGACAAAAAAAATATTATCTCGAGATACTCCGTGCTTCGAAAGGCACGTTTAGCCGTTGTTCCCGGCTGCATTTGCAGTCGTTAATACCCGTTAAGGCCCAATCCGCATTGGGCCAGCGTGGAGGATCATGGCCCATCCTCCTTAACCATCCATAAGGAAGGCCTGAGCCCCTGCAGTGGGGGCGTAAAAGGGCTGGTGATGATGATGATGATGATATATATTATTCTAATTATTAACGCGGTTACGGTCAATCTTTACCTAATAGATGTTGTTGTTAATTAATACATTTAGATATATGAAATTGCCATTTGACAATAGAAGACTTAACAATTTGATAATCGGACTGAGCCCATTACAGACGCAGCTTCTCGTTAATATTAACATTTGCTTTATGGATCCGAATGCATTGAGGATTTGTGAGCGAATAGACGTATCATTTATTGATAAAGGCTGATGAATTGCCTATATATTCACGGTATATTCTACTAACACAAATCCTATTATTACCTAAGCGAGCTATTGTACCTTAGTAGCTAGTTTGTCCTTTGTAGTGCAAAGCTGAAAATTGAATTCAATCTTCGTTGCCGTCTCACTGGGAATCCTCTATTTCGTCGATCTACGTCCAGTAAATTTTTCTGTTTCGTACAGCTATCAAGAACATCTAGGAAAGAACTGCTAAAGCTATAATCTTTAAAGTAGTGACGTGATCTATGTATTTAAATAATTTACTACTTCGTAATCTATTTATATAACAGAATTTAACTGAGCTGTGTGAATTTAATTTCCTTTAAATTTTCAAAATAAAGAAGAAAGTTTAATATATGAATAGTAAACAGAATTTATTTGATAATCTTTATTCATTTGTTTTTAAATAAGTGAAATTAAAAAAGTATGTGTACTTTTCTATGTGCCTCTAAGATCCAATAAATATAATGTTGATGTTAAACATAGCTCTACACTATCTAGACCAAGACTATTTGGAAAGTATGGACTTAAGCACCTGTAGTGTGCTTGCAATAAACATTTTGTTGGCAATGTCCGTATATCTAGGAATATTATTATATGGTATATCATCGCAGCCTCGTATATAAAGAAAAAAAGAATACTTATCGAAATTAGTGGCACAATGCCTCCCAAATTTTTATTTAATCAGTCGATGTTTTTTTCTATGAAAATTCGACATCCCTATTCCAAGTACTTGGTTTGATTTCTGTTCGAACTAATGTAGAAAACAAACTTTTCAATAATATCTCAGACGCAAGCTTGGTGCAAGAAGTTTTGCAGACTTTCCTCTGAATGTCACTCTATATTTATTTAGGTACTCTATTATTTCATACGAACGTGATCTGTGTGCATGATATTGTTCTCTGACAATTAGTGGATCTTTAATATATATTTTCTTTTAATTGGTCAAATAAATTTCGCAAAATAAAGGCTGTTCACAGTTCCATAAAACCATTGAACATAGCGGAAATAATCCATGGTGATATCTCAGTCAATTATTTATTTATTCTAATATTTTTTTAGTGATTATTAAATAAATCATTTCGTTTTAAATAATAACTTGTTCTGCTATTACGGGTAAAGCTGTGCAACATCAGAAATTACTTACGAATCAATAAGATAAAGGTATCATTGATAGGACGGGAACCCTCTACGTAATTGCTTCCTAGTTTATTATTATTGTTTCTCTTTTTATTAAATTATATTATAACTTACCTACTACTGTGTTCGTTTATTGCATATAAGTTAAACCTTTATTTTGTATTATAAAGCATTTACGGTGATAGTTAAATTAAAAGTGTTCACGGTCAGATGCTCTCATTTGCAACAAAAATTTCTTTGTTTATGAAACTAAAAAAATCAGTGGTTCGTGTCAAGTTGTTTGCATCCGGAGCGTAGTGCACCGACCAGCATGAATGGAGCATGGTTGAGTGCGCGCGAGTAACGGTCGATGCGCCGGCACATACCTGCTGGCTGTTCTACTCGTAGTGCCACAGACCAATGAGAAACGTAGATTTGTACGTCACTTTTTGAAAATTGGAATTGTAATTATAATTCTTTTTACAGGTTCAATAAGTAAACTCAAACTAAATATAAAATACAAAAACTACTGGTGACCTAAGATATTAGTATTATACGACTATTTTTTGGACAACATTTTGAGTTGTTCCGTTGTCATTCAGTTACATCTTATCCTACTCTTTATTATTTAATTACTTAATTAAGTTTAAATTCCTTATTCATCCCATTGGTACTCAGATCTCTCTCTATTTTGAAATTATCTAAAAATGTAAGATTTATGTGTACCTACAATCTGAAATACAATATTGTTTCTTTAATCTGATTTAATTATTGTTCTCTGATAAAATTATATACATTCACAATGCTTAGTAAAAAATTTCTTTAAAATGACATATCTTAAAAACGTAAAATTTAATGAAAAGAGCACAAATAAAAAAACATTTAACCAAAAAGATAGATCTATTATTATATAAAACGTCAAAAATTTATAACACTCTTTTACAATTAAAAAGGTAATTTTAGCCTCGGCATGACTTAATTTACTGGCTTCAGCTTATCTTATCTTGTTTTCAACAAACCTCTCTTTGTGACCATCTAATCTAACCCAAAATATAACTATGATTTAATTACATTATGTTTGATTTTTATAAGCTTTTTATTGGTAGAATGCCACAACTTTGAATATTCAGTCGGCTCACCACTTCAACTATTGAATAATATTAATTAACTTATAGTACCTTAGGTATTCCGGAGTCATTTGCTACACATTATAATTAATTGATTTATAAATATAGTGTAAGGTTTGGAATAATTTGGAATCACCATTTTAATTATGCCAAATACATAAGATTAATAGGGGCGTATGCGATTCTTACACATCAAAATTTACATATAAAACCATTTCAAGAAACTAATTTAAACAAAACTTATGTGAATCCGATTAGTATATTTCAGGTATACACCTTAAATATAATGAATTGTAATAGTAGTATTTCTGTGAATGACATATCTGAAAATTGAATCTTCAGCTAATCAAGTCTGAGTGAATGAGCTGAAAATTTACACGAGCATTTGGTATGTTAATTGTGTTAATAACCTATGGTTAAGTAGCATTATTTTATTTTAATTCGATCTGATGCCGCAAATACGTTAAAAATTTCCATGAAAGCCTCCGTAATATGGGTGTTAAATGAAAAAGTTTTTTTAATGGAAAAAATAATTTTATTTTGAATCTATACAGTGGACGACGGTAAATTGCTTATTTCTTTCAAGGTTAAGTAAGTAATATGATAAATGAAAGATTTAGAATGCAATAAGTTTGGCATCACATACGAACTTTTATTTTTGGTTTGGTATATTGTGTTTTGAAATTCAAAAGCTAATTTTGTCAAAGTAATATTTATAACATAGTTTACTGCCACTTAATTAAAAAAGAAGGAGGTTGTTACAGTATTTTCTATTGAGAAGAATTTTTAATATTTTTCTCTTAAGAAACAAACTGCCTTATAAAACAGACAAAATAAAGAAACCTCGTAACTTTCTTAGGTCTTATGATTTGAAAATATAGTTTTGCTACTTTTACTTCATTATAAAGGGTGGTTAACGTGGCATTTGATTGGCAATGTTAACACTTCATTGAAAATTTATACTATAGTGTTGATATGTTAAGTTTATTAACATTTATGATTTTGGTGGTTTTCTCAAATAGCAATTTTGAATAAATTGACCTAATAACCAAAACTGGACATTTTAATTACGGTAACATTGCCAACTTTAACCCGTCACGTCCATTAAATCTAAGGCTTAAGGAATCTCATAAATAGAATAGAGATGATGACTGGGTTAAAAAAAAGACATCTTTATTTAGTATGTCAGTCAGATAATAGAAAATATGAGATACATTTTCTTTGCTTCAATTTAACAAGAAAGCTTAGATAATTAGCATTAAAGTTGAGGAGTGGGGGTTTAGTAGAAAATTTACAAAAGCGTGACGTCCTGCGACATTTCAACTCAATAGGTATATCGCCGTTGTTTATCGATTACGCAAAAAATCAAAATACGTGTTTAATATTTTAATAATTTACCTAACGGACAAATGAAACAAAAATTAGTCATCATCCCTATTACATCAAAAGTATCAACGTTCTAACTTCAACTGCTACTGCAATTTGACAGTGACAAATCTTAACTATAAATCTTACGGGATTCTTACTACATTACAAATCCCTGATCTGCCAATGCCCACATCAGGATAAAAGGACGAAAAAAGAGAAAACGATATGCCACCTCTCTATCCTTCATTAGTCTATGCGCGAGGATACGTGAGGGGGCGGCGAGGGAACGGAATCCACTGAGGGACGCGCGGCCGAGTCAGTCGTACGCGTGCTACCGCGAGCGGATTACGTGTGTCGTGACATAAAATTCGATCGGCATCACATGTAAGCGCAATGGATGTCCTGCCGAGCGGTAACCTATTCCGCGAGTTGCAGGACGTGACCGACACTGGATATTTCGAGTGGAAGGTATCCTTGGAGGACTACTGGCAACAGGTAAGTGACTCATGCTGAGCGATGACGACCCTACTCCGGTATGCAAGCGAACGAGCTGAGCGCATAAGTATTGTTTAACAATTTCATGTCTCGCTGTCGGGTGGTGACGCGCTTGCGTGAGCTCCCGCGGTCGATTTTCAATCTTAACTTTAAGTGTCGACGTTCTTGGGGTACGTTGAATTCGATTCGTTTTCAAATTCAACGGTTCAGTTGATACCCGCTGTGCGTAATGTGTACGAGCCGTGCGTCCAGTTTACATTCTCGATTCGGCTATGCTTACGCCACTACTAAAAATATCCTAGCAATGTTAAGAGGTTCCGAGTTTATTGCTATCGTAACCGTTTCTGTATGGAGGTCGCCGTAGTTGAATACATACGTCACTTTCATGACATGCTTGGAAAACTTTTCAAAAGTTTGCAAAAGTAAAGTTTCATGACGGCTTCACGTCAACTCGGTACATTTATTAGTTTCGAAGGACGTTTCTTATCACCGATTTTAGTTTTGTTTAGGAGTTTCAAAAAGTTAATAACTTACATAATTCCAACTAAACTAATGATTTCAATAGTAAGTTATATACCTAGTGTCAAATTGTACCGTTTACTGGAATATTATAAACCATTTGAATTAAAGGAAAATCGTTTGTTTTGTTGTCACATCTATATTTGAATGTTTTAAGTACATGTTTTCCACGTATTGATTTATCACGTAGGTATGTAATGCATTATCGGGAGATAAGAACATAGGTATTCACATCCTAAAAAAACTGCATACATATTTATTTTTATCAAATAAGTAGTGTTGATATTATATAATCGTACCGGCTTTTGTCGTACCTATCTTCATTGTATTTGGTATTTTATGGTTTTTTTTCTCAAATTCTGGGACTGAATTCTGCTATTGTTACTATAAAAATGGCACCATAATTACATTTTCATTAATGCAATTTGCCACTGTATTATCTACTTGAAGCTGAATATTATTTACGTTGGTATAATACTAAATAGTTAATAAATCATTTGTGATATATTTATATACCAAACCACCACCTACTTTTGTTATATCAAAAAAAAGGGGGTTATTTCATATTCTGCCTATAAAGTTAATAAAACAAGAATTGACTGATATTATAAAAATTTAAAAAAATACTATTTTTGGTCAGACCGTACACTTAAATCTTACATTTTAGGTGATTTTATTAAAGGATGAGCTAGAAATATTGATGGAATTAATAAGGAATTTAATATGATATTATTTAAGGGTGACTAAGATTCATAAACATTTAAGGTTCAGAAAAAAATTGAGGAGGTTTAGACGTCAAATGACCAATACGGAACATCATTCTAAAAGAGATGTTATAACGCCAATAATTAACCTTTAATAATAACGTCTTTTAATCGATACCGGATTGAGAGAATTATCAATGAATGCATTAAAATTACATAAAGATACAATCAACATCTTTAGAAGTTTATTTTACGATATTGTATTGTAGAGCACATTTTTGTGTTATACGTACTACCTACATAATGTGAAATATTTATCAGAAAGTATCCTATTAATATTATAAAGGCGAAAGTTTGTAAGTATGGATGTATGGATGTTTGTTACTCTTTCACGAAAAAACTACTGGACGGATTTGGATAAAACTTTACAGCAATATAGGTTATACATCAGAATAACACATAGGGTACTTTTTACTGGGAAAACTTCTCACTCCCACGGGATACCGACTTCCACGCGGACGAAGTCGCGGGCGTCCACTAGTATCATACTAATTGAACAACAGATGAATTATCAGATTAACCATTTTTTATTGTAAATACTGATTTGGAAATAAAATGGTTTATGGCATGTTCCTCCTGTTTACAGCTGCTATGGAATACCGAATACTGTTAGAAAGCAGTCTCGAACTCGTCGTCGAGTACAGTGCTGTGACAATATAGTTTCAATGATCTAAAATCTTCATACTTCTTTACCTCTGAAGTAGGTTTTATCTACTTCAGAGGTAAAGCCTCTTACAACTCTCTCTTTGATTGAACCTCTGTGAAACAGTTTGTTATCGTCAGCGACAATAATAAAACAATCGATACCTAATTTAGAATAATTACTTTCAATAAACTCATTTGAATTATGAAAATGTTCATATCATTTCAAGCAAATTTAAGAAAGAAGACAGAGCGAGGTGACTTTCGACTATTTGATGATTAACCTTCAAGCATATTTTTCTTTTAATATCATCGTGTGATTCACGCTATCGCAAATTATAGATAATATTATATACAAACGGATCTCAACGAAAACATAACGAAAATAAACGATGTTATTACTGTTACTAAGGGCATCGATAAATTAAAATATATATATATATATTAAATAACTGTATTGCAGATTGTAACAGTAAGGTGAGTTTGAAATAAAAACTCATTCCAGTGATTGAAATCTAAAGTTCCAGTTAGTCCAGTTCAAGAAATTCCAGTTATTCGTATTTTATACCTTTTTAATTATATAAAAATAGTAGGTATAATTGATTTCATAAAAGGGTTGATTTCAAAAAAGAATTAAATTATTATTAATTTTCTAACTATTACGATGGTAGAAAGAATTCAACAAATTTAAATAGCAGAATATTGAAAATCTTCGCGAAAAAAAGTGACGATAAAGGTATCGCCGTGATGCAATTTAAAAGATGAGAGCGTACAGTAGAGGGAACCGATTTTATTTCATATTTTATATATTGATTTATATAACTGCTACTGTATTATCCTTTGCCTCCTACTGTAAAAAAATTGTCTTCTTTTTTTTGCAAAAAATAAGTTTATACAATTTTCCATGCTACATTCGAGAAGTTGTCAATTCTTCTAAGGCCAATCGAAAATAGAATAGACAAGGTAATGTCTCATAATAAAGAAGCATTGATGGAAAATATTATTAATAAGATAAAAGGTCCATCAAATGTGACTGATCAACGAACAATCTACTAACAAAAGCATGATACTTTTACACTATCTATAATAACCTACTATCGAGTCTCCTTGTCCGTCGGTACGAAATAAAGTGTGAGATTTTTAATTTTACTACTACTATGGTATCTGCAGTAATAAAATAAACTACTCTACTGCAGTTGGTATAGTTCTGCTCTCATACGAAGTGTTGATTAGATTTAATTATCATTACATCCATTATCATCAAGATATATAAAACTCTTTTATATTCAAAAACAAATATTCAGTAATTTCATACGGCATATCGGTGACTTAAAAAATCTATTAAAAAATCCTTCAAATAATAAAACAAAATCTTAGAACTCATCCCAAAATTAAACGTCACCTTGAAAATATATTAGACACCGTATAGCTAAGACTTAGACGACGGAGTCATCAGTTCATAACCCCGTCTCGAGCATTTGCTCTAAATCGAATAGTTCAAAGGGATCGATTGTCGCGCTGTCTCACAGACTACGATAACGGTTACAAATTATAGGGTAAGAGCTCCAGTGATTGCAACAAGTATTGCGTTAAATTATGATATGATATTTAAAAAAAATTGACGTTAATGAACTTTATGCAGTCTTTACCTTTATATAAAAAGGATTCTACTATAGAATAGAAGAGTCACATTTTTGCCTAGTTATTCCACTAGTCCTTATATAATAACGAAGAAAATATTTCCTTCGTGTAAGAATATGAATAAAAAATGTATATTGTTGTAAATATACATTTAGGAAAAAGCGGTCAAAATAGAAAGAAAGCAAAAAATAAAATAAGCCTAGCTGATCCGGCGAACTTCATACCGCCATATACTCGTTTTTTTTTATAAAAGATATCTTTTTCATCAATTTTCTTATATGCAAACCTTGCCCGGACAATAAGGAACACATAAAAAAAGCTTCATTCAATGTACTGCAGTTGCTTGGAAGTTATGCGTGTATATAGTCATTTTGGCGGTTCGTTTGTATAGATGTTCTATGGAGTAGAATTTTGCATACTCGTATTTCGATATTTCAAATAATTTATAGGACAGTAAAATTTAATACAATCAAGTGTTCTTGTTAGATGTAGTGTTTGTCTTGACATTTCTTTCTTTCTAGTACAAGTCAAATGTTATACTTATTAATTTATTTTACTTTTAAAACCACATACAGTAACTGTATTTCTTTTGAAAAAAGATATATTTTAGTACAAAATCTTTAATAACAGTCTTGCAACCTATTGTAAACGATTACTCGCTGAATGTAAAAACGAATCATTTAATCTGCGAGTCAATAAACCGAATCGTATATAAAATCTGAATCTGAAAAAACACTATAGAAATTCAATTGCTACGTATCTATAATCCATTTTTCATACTAATAAATTATCTTTATCTTAATCTAATGTATTAATTATTGTTTTTTTTTTTATATGCATCTCAATGAAATGACGGATAGAACATCCCTTTGAAGGAATAACGATAAAAAGTAACGTGTGAGTAATCACTAAGATTTATTTTTTATGTTTGTTACGTGAGTAAGCCCATGGTTCTGATAGCTACTAGGTAGTTATCAGTAGTTGGCAGACACAACGAGATAAACCATGTCTGTTCAAAATATTAAACTTAATTTAGGACAATTAGAGCATTCGTGCTCATGACGAAGGTCGCATTATATTTCAGTGACGCTTTTGCAAGTTGCTTTATTGAATTCAGCAAAAAGTATCGTATATAAATATCATTGCTCATATTTCATGGAAATATGTTCTAAAATCCATGGCTAAAGATGGCTAAGGTTTACTTTTTATCAGTTAGTTAGACAATATAATTTGTAGTCATTCATTAAATAGAGTAGTCGACTAAGACACGACGGACACAGTTCATTGGAGCCCTACTACCTGGTTATCACGGAGTGTGAACTTTGAGGACAAAACGGCGCACAATAAACTTGATAGTATTCTAACAAATATTCATAATTTAACGAGAATGTGTCTGGAAAATACCAAATGAAATTTTCCACTCATCAATTATAT